CTTTATTTCAACTTATGGACAGAGAATTTTTATCTAATTCTCCTAAACGAAGAGCTGAGATTTGGAGCATCAATTGTATTTATAAGCGGACAGTCGACATCCCAAATCCAAAAAGTAATACAACAAAAACATAAATATAGTAAATAAATACAATTGCTAAGGAGTACGGTACGAATTGTTTGTGACGAATTTTTCAACATGTATATTCTGTGATGGACTTGAATTTCACGCCATGAAAAACTTCTGTTACAAATTTAGTCACAATTTTTTTTCTGTTGTTGACAAGTGATAGCTACTTTTGGGATGTTTCATACCTGGATGCGTTGGCCATTGCCGAGAGTGATGTTATCACTGAAGTCTCTATCAATGGAGCTAGCAGCAAATAGTGAAGGTCCAAGGTGCGACATTCTTGACAGTTTCAGGTTCTGGCCCTTCATTACCTGCGGAGCAAACTACAACTATACTTTTGGAAACTGCATGGAAGGCTCCAATGGAGATGCCATCAGATAACAAATCTTCTGGATAGTGCTGATTCCCACCAATAGAAACAGATATCACATCAACATTATCACTAATGGCTTGGTCAAATGCAGAAAGCAAATCTGCATCATGACACCCTGCTCCTTCCAATGGATCCCAGCAAGCTTTATAGACTGCAATCGAGCCCTGGGGGACCCACCCTTGGCCGTGCCATTACCTGTTGAGCACACTTGCGTTTCGAACGAAGTTGCCGACAGCAGTTGATGCAGTGTGAGTACCGTGTCCTACAATGTCACGTGCACTACGATGATGTAATGGGTCGATTGGGCCAACGTCAGCCTCGTAACCGTTGAGGAAGATTTTTGCTGCTAGGAGCTTCCTGATTCACGTTCATTTGTGTGTGCGTAATACATTGAGTGTAAGCAGAGATTGAATAAAAAAAATATTGAGAATTAGAGGGAAATAGATAATCAGAGATTGATCAATGATATATAACCTGTTGCAGAGAGTTCTGTTAGAACGGCGAGGCAAATTGTGAATCTGACAAGTGGAACCTCCTTGCCACTTTGAGGGAACAGGGCCATATCCTCTGTCGTTGAAGCTCTTGGATTCAGGCCAAACACCTATTTAAAAAACATAGTGTAATAATTAACCAATACACATAAACATATACTCCCTCTCCTCTGAATTATAGAGGAAATTTTTAAAACCCTATTTGGTCCTAATTAAACATAAGGCAAAGATGTAGTAGTTTTTTTTTTTTAAATATTAACCCTTAATAATTGCAACAAGTAGGTGGCAAACGTGTAATTCCTAGACACAATTTATTGTGACCCATAATTTTAGTCAACGGTAAAATTTAAAAGTAAACATTTTATTTTTACAAATTAAAGATATTAATGATATTCTTAATAATTGAGAAGTTAATTAACTTTGTCACATACTCCTCTGGTCCTATTTTATATTGTATAGCGATAAAATTAATTTTAATCTTATTTATAGGTCATTTCTCTAATTTCTATGTTCATCTTTACTTTTTTATCTTTATTAAATGTCAAAAAATTATTAAAATTTCTTTTAGTAGGAGTAGAGGTGAAAATTTATTAAATTTTAAGAAAGAATTAAAGAGGTTAAATGTTTTCTTTCATGCTAACAAAATATGCTAAAAGTAACTTGTAAATAACTAAAATGTGTGATTAGGACAAGAGGGGTGTGTGTGTGTCTCAAACAAACACACAAAATTAATAGGACATTTTCTTAGAGCCGGCAATATGGCTCAGGCTTGATGGGCGGCTTGTTTTTATAAAAGTTTGAACTTAAAAAAATCAAAATTTTTGGAGAGTAATCAAGCCTCTAAATGTATTAGGCCATGAAAAAGTAAAATCAGGCAACTCACCAAGTCTCTTTTAATTTGTTTTTTCACCTTACATTAAATAAGACTATCTGAGTTTGTTCCTTGTTGCCCGTTATAATCAAGTTACTTGGTGATGTAGGATTAATTTTGATTCACTTTAGTGTCATCGGATTCAGTTCTTCAAAGATATCTGTACTTGTTGCCCTATATATTAAGGACAGATTACTATTTCGTCTGGCTTCATATAGTGTATAACCTTAAATTAAAAGATATTATCGCAACGGTTGCCGTTATTTGATTGATAAGTGGCAAGAAGCTTTGGGCGGTCCAAATGGAAAATTTCCTCAGTTCTATGCAGCATATATGTACTTCTGCTGCAGTTATCAATGTTTTGCAAGCAACAGTTCTACTTTTAACGGACATACATTGACAGATTATTCATTTTCCTACTGTATTATATTAAGGTGGATGATAATTCTTTCTACTTTCCTTTTTGGAGTTATTTTAAATTGTGATTTATTTTTTAGAAAATAGATTATGAATCGATGATTATCTGTATTTATTTTTTTATTTTATTATTAAACTATAACATTGAATTTTATTTGATTTTTTAAAATAAACAAAACGGGCTTATGGATCTAACTTTAAACCTTTTAAATGAAGGTAGAGTTTCGAAAAAACGACAACTGCTCCCCATTCCCCGGCTCTACACTTCCTATAAGAAAAATGTGACAAGCATGTGGGGTATGTGGGCCCCACTTTCTGGGGGAACCCAGTCCCGTAGCTTTTCGCTTAACAGTTCTCCGAATGAAAATCAAACAGACAAAATGAAGGTAATATAATTACCAGTATCAATGACACCGATGATTGAATTTTGACCAAATCTTCCCTTGATCCAAGCTGAGTCTGCTCTAACTCTTCCTTTTCTTTCTTGACCCAGAAACTCCCACGATCTTGTTGTGTGAAGTGTATGCATTTTGCTCAAGAACACTGACACTACATTTGGCTTTTCTGTACCAATTCCAGAAACACTATCTAATTAATCACAATCAATGCAAACAAAGTCTGATGAACTGATCATACAAAACTGAACAATTCACTCACTTTTGATCTCTGTAGCTACTTCGTCTTCAAGCAATGCAGCAAACCCATTTATGTGTCTATTATAAGAGTAAATGATAGCTTCTTTGGCCTTCTCATGGCTGTCTGTCAAAGAAGCATACAAGCACACACACACACAGAGTTAAATTCATCAGAATCAGATTCTATAGCTTCTTCCTGGTATCATTTTGAACAGAAGGATCATGGATTTAATTCTATACCTTCCCAAGAAGGAGCCCAGAAAATCATAATGGGAATTCGTGGCAGATTCCATATCAGCAGAGGAAGGGTCTGGGCCATGAGAATGTGATCCAAAGTATACAATGTAAGACTGCAAAACACAATGAGAAACCAAAGATTAATAATATACAATGTAAGACTGCAAAACACAATAAGAAACCAAAGATTAATAAGTGAAACAAACATGCTTGATTAGATGACAAGTTTCATGATCAGAAACTCGAAGTGAGTAGTGAAGAAGCAAAATGTGCTTGCCTTTCTCATGGCATGAGCAGGTTGAAGAAAGGAAGTGGAAAGAAGGAATGATGAAAGAAGAAGAGGGACAATGGAAGAAGCCATCATGTTTGAGGTTTGGGAGGTGTGCAACAAGAGAATTGGAGGTGTTTGTCTTATATATATATATGTATGTATGTATGTATGTATACATATATATAAAGCTGTGCCGTCCTCTCTACTTTTTTGGAAGAGAATAATTTTTTCTTTTTAATAAGTTATGCAACGCCTCAAAGCCAGCAGCTTTGTCTAATCGGGGTCAGGTTGGGTCGATATCCTTTCTGGCAGAAACTTTTACCATCAAACGCTGCTACATTTTCAGAATTCAAAATCAAGATCTCTAATTAAGGTGGTATAATTCCTTCCACGTTGAAGCCTTGTTGTTGGTAACCAATATAGCTGTTTCTTTGCTTTAATTTCTTTCCCTCCTTTTTTCGGAATATTTTTTTGACCAATTTTTTTTCCTTTTACTGGAATGACGAATAACCTGCTTCGGATGCTCATGGTTTTCAAGGGCTCCGTAAAACATGGAATCATAGAAGACGAAATGAACTCGTTTCTTTTCCATCAAATTTTATCAAAATTCTCAATTCTCCATCTATAAAAAAACACACATTATTTATAACTTACAAATAATACAATTCACTATTTAAAACTCGACTTCACACACAATGTCATAATCTAGTTTGCAAAAACATGATGATTATCACTGTGCATGTGGACAACATTTAGATTCTCTTTTGTTGAAAAATAAAGTAATCTTCTTTTATTTGGGATCTAATTCGTTGGCTTTTGATCCAACGAGAGTTATAGTTATAATTCAGTGCAAAATGAAATGAAGGCGCTATGCAGGAGGGAATTTGTGAACCGGCCAGCTGGTTCAAACGGATAAACCAAAGATGGGACAATCATTCATAATATTTAACTTCTAAATTCTATTATGTTTCATCATCAACATAAAGTGAGTCGGTGGTGCAATAAAATCGATCCTGGAAAAATATAGTAGCAATAATTAATAAAGGACCAGAGAACAAAATGATCTAGTATCTAGTTTGGATATGTTAAACCTTTTCATCGAAACGTGACCATCTGGTCTTTAATTACAATTATATATCTCTTAATCATTGCCCTCCGTTCTTTCTTTCTTTCTTCTTCTTTTCTTCTTTTGTTTGGTTTATATTAAAAATCACTTGGCATTCAATAGCTTTATAAAAGCACCTATTTAACTTGTTCCTTTGTTCATTGGATGTCCATGCATGTGATTGTATTTTCACGACCCAGAAGGTATCTGATTGGTCTAAACACAAATTAAGGTTAAGAAACTTTCTTTGTCCTATATTCTATGTCTTTTTGAAAAAATGAATAATTAAAAATAATAATTTAAAAATTCACAGCATAAATTTGCTACATTGGAGAAGCAAAGAATGGAATTGCTCTTATCCTAAGCTGTTGTTCTTTCACGATTCAGTTATTATTTATAATTTGTCCTCTGATTCTTCATTTGGTTCCTTTCTTTAAGCTTTGGTTTGCATGCCAACTTCAGTGATTAGGTTAAGTTTAATTAATTCAGAGGAAACTTTTCTAACATGATTTTTCCCTCTAAAAATTCAACACAAACCTTCCTTAAATCGTGTTGAATTCCTTATTCCTATTCAACTCAGCTACGGCCACTAAATGTTATAATATTTCATTGTTGGATCTTTCAGTAAGCTTTTGTCCTCGGGAATATTTATCGTAAAAATAATAAAAGAATTCAATTCACAGATCAGGCTAAAAAATGCCTAGCTAACACTTTTCAATAAGATTTTAGATTCATTTATCGTCATTTACTACATTTTAAAAATTTTATTATTAAATTGTGGTAGTATTTGTTGTTAATTAAGATGTTTATGTCATTACAATATGCTCAAAAGAGATGTTATCATATAAATTTATTTTGAATATGGCTACATTTTATAATAATTAATGTGTAATAACACCTCACTTTAGAAAAAGCAACCTCGTTCCGAGTTCAAGATGATATTGAAATTTGGTGTATCGCTTGCAATATTATGATAAACCTTATTTCATATGCACGTAGCAAATCAAAAGAATGATATATGTACCAACAATCATCATTAATTGGATTCGATGAGTGAGACTTAAATTTTTTGAGGAGGAATGGTATTTATGGAATAAAAGATTGAATTACTTTAATATTAGGACAAAAAGATTTGAAAATATTAAAATAAGAATGAAAGGTCTTTTCAATGATTTGATACTCTTATCTCTTGATTTGCAACTTAGTAATTACAAATTTGCTAGTAAAATTTGTTTATTTGTAAAAGAAAAGGAAAAAAAATTAACTTGGTAAAGATGTTAATCATTAGCAAAGATCTTTGATCTCAAATGTCCTTAATTATGATATAGATTCTTTAATTTCTTGTAATTGCTACATTTTGTTCCTCTCATCTAGGCTTGGTCCAAAAACCTATATTGTTATAAATTATCTTTTTTATTTTTTTAATATATTTGATATTTTTATTTTAAAAAAACTTGTTAAAGATGTTATGATTTCTCATGGTTTAACACTCATATTCCCTAATTTGAAACTTTGTGACTACTAATTTGCAAGTGAAATTCATCTATTTACGAAAGAATAGGAATAGATTTAATGATTTCTAACAATTTTATGCACGTATTTCTTGATTTGCAAATTTTTAACCATTAATTTGCAAATGAAATTTGTGTGTGTGTGTGTATAAAGGAAAACAGACAATTTAAATTAAAATAAAACTTATGAATTTAGCATTATATACTTAATATAATTTTATTTAATCAAATCAAAACAAGTGAATTTTAATATATTAATACTATTAATAATAAAAATTTGTTATAAAATAAATAGTTTATTAAAAAGTCTACATGTCTTGATTTAACTGAAAACAAACATTTTAAGTTTATAAGGTTAACTATATAAATCTTTCCCTTTAACTTACCAAAGAGATTATGATTTCTAGCCGTTCAACACTACTCTTATTCCCTAATTTGCAATGAGATTGGTCATTTAATTATTACTATGAGGATATACTAGTAAAATTATTATTTGAATTAAATTAATTATTGAAGAACCTTTGCTGTTTGAAAAACAAAATCTTATAGCAGCAACATACATCAGATAGTTATGTAAAATGTTACAAAGATATCAAGACAGAGATTCTAACTTTCTTTTGAGCCAAGGGATGTTACTATAATATTAAGTACAACTGTATGCATAGTATAGAGTTATTTTGAACGATGACACGTTATTATAAATTAATCTATAATAATGATCTCTTTAGAAAAGGCAACCTCGTTACGAAGGTATAATGACGATAGAGATTTCGTGCATCACAGTCACAGAACAGTTTTATTGCACATCAAATCAAAAGAATGGTTTATGCATCTTACCAAAAAAGAATGGTTCATGTAAGAAGTGTGAAAAGTATAATCCCGAATCAATAACTAATTATATCCGTTGCTTTATAGTCTAAAGTGCGTGTGTAGTGTTTCCTTCATTCCTTTCTTTTGTTTTAATTAATAATTAGCATCGCTTCTCTTACTTTATAAAATGCATAACTTTTTATTTTGATAATTAACATTGCAAAAAGCTATTAACTGAGTTTATATAATTTCTAATTGAGTTTCATCATATCATTTCAAAGTGAATATCGTTAATTGTCATTATTCTCTTTTAACTTGTAAGATCCCAAAATTCATTTACCCATTTTTCTCAAGTAGAATATTTTATCATTTTATGGGAAAAATCAATTACATTCTATCATTAACTTGTGTTATTGGTCATAAGTCATGATCAGTACATCAATATCTTAGTAGATAATTAAATTAAATATGATACCAAGTTCCAATATTCTAAGCAATGAGCAATAAATTAAAGTTTATTATTCTTTTTTATAAATAAAGCTTAATATTTAACTCTATATATAATGCACGGATAATGGTATCCGCTTATCTAGTTTAATAATGTAGGAGTTTTTTTTTTTTTTTTTGGGGGGGGGGCCAGGAAAACCTTAATAATGTAGAAGTTAGTTTTTTTTTTTTTTTTTTTGGGGGGGAGGCAAAGGAGTTATTAGTTAACTGATTCACTTTGATTAAGAAATTTTGATAAGTCATTGCTTGATTTTTTTTAAAGCCTTAACTCTTAACTTATCTATAAATTAAACTCCATACCTCCATCATAATTAACTAGGAGAGTAATTTACTAAGTGGGATTTATGTAAATTCAACATCTTAGCAAGGTACTGAAAACCGAATCAATTATTAAAAAGCCTTTAAAATATTAATTTAAGAAATAATGGTAAAAACTATAACCGAACAATAAGTCATCACACTATAAATAAACAGAGCTTTTTTTTCATTCTTAAAAACTTCTGGGACTTATTTAAAAAACCACCCCTTTTCCCACCACTCCTGATACCTTGGAAGAGAAAAGAAAATCACAATACACTATTCAATAATTTGAATTCAAAAGGCATTGAGCTCTAAATGAGAGGGATTCTTACCATAGTAATTTCTTTTTCATTCATCATAATATTTAAACATGTTTATATTACTATCCAATAATGAGAGCTTATTATTTAAAGGAAACTTACTCCACTCAACTCTGTTACAGTGTTATTACTATAAATCTCTTATATTACCATTAAAATAGTCTAATTCCATGCCAACTAATGAGAATAATGCTTATACAATTTTGGAAAGAATCTCATTCTTTGTGATTGTTTTTCAAAGTAAGATAATTTACTTGCCAGTACTGAGCTGGAAAGTTTAATGAATTATCTTTTTTTTTTTCCGCTTTTTGCTTTATTTCCTTGTAATTATTATCTGCAAGCACATTTCCCGATAATAATTTGTAAGGCTAAAGTCTAATGTTCTAAAGATGTCAGATGTGAAACGAATATTATGACAATATGACTTTATGTGTACTATATGTTCGATAAAACATGATGAAATTTCCCTTCTTGGAAAGTTAAATCGTTGTTTTTGTGGACCAGATGATCAACTTTTTATGTATAGGGAAAAAGCAGTAATTTGGAAAATGGAGAGCTAAATGTTTAAAAGATAAAGAAATATTATTATATATGTGTGTGTATGAAAAATGACATGGCTGAAAAAATGTAGCCAGTTCTAGCTTGGAGCACATATTGTCCCACCTATCATCTTAAAAGAAGATATGCTCTCCGGTGGGAAATAATTGTGATCATAGCTTATTTTAAACTTCATCCACTTGTTAGTTTTAAATTTTTATGAAACAAAACTTGAGAGATTTCTTTAGATTATTAATTTACATGAATAATTCAGCAACTAACAATACCTACGTACAGTTATTGATCCACTTGACACGTACGTACGTACGTATGTATGGATTTAGGGTTTAAAACTTAGGGTTGATAATTCTTTATATTTTGGTGTTTTAAAGATTATTTTAGTAGTTTGGTTTAATATTTCATTTTGTTGTAAATGCTACTACTACCACTACCACTACTGCCACCACCACTACCACTACCACCACCACCACCACTATGACTATCACTACCACTGCGACTACTGCTGCTGCTGCTGCTGCTACTGCTGCTATTCCTACTACTTCTACTACTGCTGTTGCTACTGCTACTGCTGCTACTGCTACTGCTGCTGCTACTCCTACTACTGCTATTGCTGCTGCTGCTACTACTACTACTGCTGCTCCTACTCCTATTGTTACTTCTATTGCTACTACTGCTACTGCTGCTGCTATTATTACTACTGCTACTCCTGCTACTACTACTACTATTGCTGCTACTGCTACTACTGCTGCTGCTGCTGCTACTCCTACTACTACTGTTACTGCTACTGCTACTGCTACTGCTACTGCTCCTACTGCTACTATTGCTACTACTACTGCTACTGCTCCTACTACTGCTGCTGCTGCTGCTCCTACTCCTGCTACTACTACTATTACTACTATACTACTATTGTTACTATTACTATTGCTGCTGCTGCTGCTACTACTACTCCTCCTACTCCTGCTACTACTACTCCTATTACTACTACTCCTCCTCCTCCTCCTGCTGCTGCTACTGTTACTACTACTACTATTGCTACTACTACTGCTACTACTGCTACTACTCCTACTCCTACTACTACTACTACTACTACTCCTGCTATTACTGCTGCTGCTGCTGCTGCTACTATTACTACTGCTGCTGCTACTACTACTACTCCTACTCCTACTCCTGCTACTACTACGGCTACTACTACTACTCCTACTCCTACTCCTGTTACTACTACTCCTACTCCTGCTGCTGCTGCTGCTGCTACTGCTGCTGCTGCTGCTGCTGCTACTGCTGCTGCTGCTGCTGCTGCTACTACTGCTGCTGCTACTATTGCTGCTACTACTAATCACAATATAAGTGCTACGGAATCATTTTTCTTGTTCAGCAACGAATACTAAGCGGGCCCTGTGTGTGTGTATATCTACGATCAAAATTGTGAATACTGGCCCAAGAAAATCCGATCAGTTTTGGTGGGCCTAATACCTGTTCTTGTGGAGGCCTAGTGAGGCTTGGCCTAAAATTAATAGCTTTGTTGTGTTTGTAAAAAAACAAAACAAAAAAAAAAAAGCTTTGCTGTGTATTACTCTGGTTCTATTGATAAAGCACCTCCAACATATTTTGCCATATTCAAAAAAAATCTTAAAATTTATTAACTCTGTCTAGAAATTTAATAATTTTTTAACTTTACCCTCATTAAATATATATTTTCTTTAACAGTATATTTTCTCTTTCTAACATTCAATAGAAATCATGAAAGAATTAGTAATAAAATTCAATAAGGTAACTTATAAATAAGATAAAATTTTTTTTCTCTACTTTATAAATAGGATTACAGAAAGTACAACTTAAACTGATTTCTAAGCCCATGGAACTCTTTCTTCATATGAAGGCCTATGCCTTGTACTTACATGTTAAGTTTGAATCTCCACTTGAGATCCCAACAAACCAAAAAAAAAAATCTCCACTATGAAAAGATGTTCATGTGCAGTGTCCACCTACTTTGAACAAGATTGTGTTCAATAAATAAAAACACTTGTGAGTAACAAACAAAACAAACTTTGCTTTTTATAAAAGAAGCTAGTTAAGACCAAAACAGCAAAAATAATAACTAATTGCTACTTCAATCTCACAATTAGCTTTTTAATTATTGTCACCAATAATTAGTTGAGTATTTTATAATAATGCACACATAACAATATAGGAAGCGAAATAGTTATCAAATAAGGGTTAGCATTTTAGTTCCCACTTATTTGCATTACTTTTGTTTGTTAAATGAAAGTGTTGTAATTTTAAGTGATTAAAATAAAAAGTTAATAGACATTGTTACCTCTCAATTATTTATTTAGGAGCGTTTGGTATCTTAAATTCATATGTGGTGTAATTTTTATCTTCAACATTTGAAAATGATACACTAGATTCCCTACTATTAAAAAAGTTAACTTTAATTGTTAGTTAATCAAAAAAATTAAAAAAAGAGCCCATAAAATTTCAAATAAGTAGCCTATAAGAAAATTAATGTTAACTAAGTTTCTAAAATCATGGTTAGTCAAAATCATATTCTGACATTTTATGTACACAAGAAATTAATAACAATTTGTATCCTATTATATTTATATATAATTTAGAGGATTTAATTGATATTGATTTTTTCATACAGTACTTATATGTAATTTTATGAGTCCTTTTTATATAACTTTTGATGTCATTTTCTACAATTTTTAAATCAACTAACGACTAAAGTTAACATGTTTAATGACAAGGTGTTTAATGTAGGATTTTTAAATGTTGAAGGAAAAAATTGCATCATATAAAAGTTTAAAATATTAGATGTTTTTGAGCAAATAATTGAGAGGTAAAATTGCCTTTTAATCCTAAAATAAAAAACTAAGTTTTGTTATGAGAAATATCTATATTATGTTTAATACTCTAACTGTGACATCAAACAAAATTATTTTTAATAGGATGATACTTATGTAGAATAAAAAAAAAGAACAATAAAACTTTTAATCTTTTAAATTTATCTCAATTATTGATTTGGTCCATCAAATTTAATTTTTATTGATTAGATCCTTTACGTTTCCTTGCATTATTATGTTAGTCTTTTTAAATTTTAAAACACAAATAAATTTTTATATTAATCTAATCTGTAAAGCATGTCAAAAATCTGTTTAAAAAAGACCTCATATGAATTTAAACATTTTCACTTTAGTCCTTTATATTGCATTTTGTTCTTTTTTTTTTTTTTGTGGGTTACAAAGTACAGACTATGACTGAAGGCCACCAACTTTTATATCTATAAACAAGGTCCAACTTGCAATTTAAAAAGTTCCAAGATTCTTGCTTCATTTCATTTAACCATTTTTTTATTGGAAAAAACATGAGAGAAGATGTGAAAGAAGCAAAGTGTCTCGCCTAATCCTATTTCCATCTCCACTATGACACTAAATACTCGCTTCTCGGCATCTCTGCCAAGCCAACTTCCTTTCTCCTCCTCTTTTCTTGCATACTTGAACTCTGATGAATGAGAGCAACGTCAGATTGCAAACTTAGGGCAATTATATTTTCTATTTTCTGATTGAAAAATTACTTTCTCATGCGGCATATATTTTCCATTTGAATCCAACTTGTAAAATTATGCCCACTTAACTGCCACTTCATTGATATTTAATAGATTTTTTAACACTGTTAACATTTATTTAACATGTTTAAACATAAAGGAGTAACAGATCTAATGTAATAAACTTAAAGGACTTAATAAAACAAAAAAACATGAGGACCTAATGCAAAACTTGGGGAAACCACAAGGGTTGGGGTAGTAATTTTTCCTTTTAATTAAACAGAGAGTTAAATATAGAGGTTTTAATTCGATCTACCGCAGATAATTTGTACACAGTGACATGTGAGAAGTTGGGCCATGTATTGCTGTAGGAGCCAATTACTTCATGGTTTCGATATCTCGTCAAGCTCAACTGATAGGTCTCTGTTTGGAATTATATTTAGTCCAATTACTAAAATGCCCTTTATTTATTAAAAAAATAAAATATCATCTGCGTGCCACCAGAGCTCTGTCGACAAACACATACCCTTGGTCAAGAGGTGATTTTGAAGAGACGGGTTCGCATTTGAAGCCTCGGAGGAAGAGGAATCATCATGATGGTGATGTAACAAATACTCAAATAGTACATAATCACAATATAACTGCCAAATTGAAGAATCATTTTCCCTTTCAGCAATGATACTAATCGGGCCCTGTATATATATATCCATGGTGAAAATCTAGTTGTGAAGATTGGCCCAAGAAAATCCTATGATGCTTGGTGGGCTTAATACCCGTTCTTGTGCAAGCCTTGTGAGGCTTGGCTTAGGATTAATAGTTTTGTTGTGTACAAGTTCAATTGATCGCCAAGCCCATGGAGCTCTTCCTTCATAGGAAGGCCTGTGCCTTGTACTTATATGTTAACTTTGAATTTGAACCTCCACTGGAGGTAAAAAAAAATAAAAATAAAAATAAAAATAAATGCACTATAAACGATGTTCATTTGTAGTGTCTAACCTACTTTGAACAAGATTGTGTTAAATAAAAGAACACTTATGAGCCATGGAAAAACAAATTTTGCTTTCATAAAAGAAGCCAGTCAACACCAAAACAGCCAAAACAATAACTAATTGCTACTTCAATCTCACAATTTGCTTTTTCATTATTGGTGCCAATAATAAGTTGAGTATTTTACAATAATGCATTGCAGAAATAGCAACATAGGGAGCGAAATAGTTATCAAATAATGGTTAGCATTTCAGTTCCTACTTATTATGCATTACTTTTGCTTGTTAAATCAAGGCATTGTGATTTTAAGTGATTAAAATAAAGAGATAATGAGTATTTTTTCTCTTTAACTATTTGTTTAGGAGCGCTTGGTATCTTAAACTTAAATGTGGTGTAATTTTTTTCTTTAACATTTGAAAATGGTCCATTAGACTTTCTATCATTAAAAAGTTAACTTTGATTGTTAGTTGATAAAAAAAATTACAAAAAGGGACATAAAAATTACAAAAAGAAACCCATAAAATTTCAAATAAGCAATTTATAAAAAAATTAATGTTGATTAAGTTCTTAAAATAATGGTTAGTCCAAATCATATTCTAAATTTTTATGTGCATAAGAAATTAATAACATTTGTATCTTGTTATGTGTGTGTAATTTAAAGGACTTAATTGATATTAATTTTTTTATTAGGACTTGTGTGTAATTTTATGAGTCCTTTTATGTAATTGTTGAAGTCTTTTTCTATCAATTTTAAATCAATTAATGGTTAAAGTTAATATTTTTAATGACAAGATACTCAATATATCATTTTCAAATATTGAAGAGGAAAAAATATTACATGAAAGTTTAGAATATTACATATTTTTGAGCGAATAGTTGAAAGGTAAAAATATTTTTAATCCTAAAATAAAAAAAAACTAACTTTTGTTGAGAGAAATGTCCATGATCATGACCTAAAAAAAATATTTTTAATAGGATGATACCTATGTAAAATAAATAAAAAAAAGGGAACAATAAAACTTTCAATCTTTCAAATTTGTCAATATTATTAATTTGATCCCTTAAATTTAATTTTTATTGATTAAATCCCTTACGTTTCCTTACATTATTATATTAGTCTTAAGTTATAAAACAAAAATAAATTTTTATATTAATGTAATGTGTAAAGAATGTAAAAAATATGTTTGAAAAAAGGCTTCATATCAATTTAAAGTTTTCAAGTTAGTCCTTTTAATTTATGATTAAACAGTTATAGTCCCTTTTACTAAAATCAACGTTTGTTGGTATTGCCACTTTGTAAATATTCTTAGTTACTATATGATTGACACTCCTAGCAGCGTATTCGTTGCCCAAATCTCAGCTTCTTCATTCATTATTATAAAGTAAATATTATTAAACAATATATTGATTTATTACTTATTTTATCGGCCAAAAATATTTATTCCAACTATAACCTAATTATTATACATATATGTAATAAAAAAGCATTATTTTTTTTATCTTTATTTCAACTTTCCATAGTCAATACAAAGTCTTGCTTTAAAATAAATTGCGTGTAAACGTCAGATGATTGAACTCATTTCTTAAACTCCATATAATATTTTTCATATTATATGAAGTTCCTTACCCCACTGACTCTATCCATTGTCATTGTATATTATTTAATTTCCTTCAGTACTACTCCTTTTGAATGTTTTCCAAAGTGACATGACATAAGTAGTGTGGCATGAGCTGTAAAGGCTAATTCTTCTTTTGATCTTTTGTTTCCTATTGACAATATCTGCGAGCACTTAATCTAAAGTCTAATAATGTAAATATGTCTGATACCCAAAAAACAAATTGTTCCCAGAATAT